TAACATATCGAAAAATAGCGAAATACTTATGTTAACGTTAACTTTCGAAGGTTTTCACTAGAAAAAATTTCCTGATGAAGTATTGCTTTTTCGATATCTTGCCAAGTTGAAATAGAGGATTTAATCTCTGTAGATTGTTGATCGATATTTTGGGTAGTAGTTAACATTTGAATATGTATTATGTTTTGATTATCTAAAGTTTTATATGTAATACTTTATAAAATCTTTTCTTTAAATAAATATTTCTGTATAATAAAAATGATAGGTGAATATACTTGCCCGTTTTATCATAATTCTGGTAAAGTTTGTGGAAAAACCTGTATGAAACCTGAAGGATGTAGTTATCATTGGAAAGCTAAAAAAAGAGTACCTTGTACAGATTGTGGTAAACCTACTGGTTCAACTTCTGGTCGTTGTCCATTACATATCAGAGGTTATTATGTTACCCAATACTATGATAGGTTTCGATCAAATTCACGAGAAAAACTTTATGAGGAAATAATTAATACCATTAAAAAGATGCTTACAAATATTCGAGAAAAAACTTATGATGAAATAATAGTTGTTCATGGAGTCACTCTTACAACTCTTAATATTACTCTTTGTAAAGAATGCTTAATTCCGATAAAAATAGAAGAGGGAGAATATTGTAATAGTTGTCAACGTGACCCAGTACTATGATAGATTACGTGTCAGGGTTTCAAAATTAGAATCTGGATAAGTGAAAAACCTGGCACAAATTTTGTTAGACTTGACATATATCGATAAATTTTGTTAGACTTGAGTATAAATTTTTGTTAGACTTAGTACGTGCATCGATAAATTTTTGTTAGACTTAGTATATACATCGATAAATTTTTGTTAGACTTAGCATATATATCAATAAATTTTTATTAGACTTAGTATATACATCGATAAATTTTTGTTAGACTTAATATATATATAGTTTTTGTTAGATTTTTGTGTGCCAGAAAAGTAGTGAAGAATCACCTTTAGATTGAATTCTGCTATATCAAATAATATTGGTATGCAATTTATGCTTATCAAGCTGGAAAAAAATCAGGATCGATATTCATTTTCATTCATATCTTCACCATGATTTTTTTCTTTTTTAATAGCAAGCTGTATATCATAAATAATCATTATCCTTTTTTATATGAATTTGTGTAATTTATTGTGTTCTAGATATATAAAAAATGATATGCTTTGTGTTGTTTTTGGAGCGTGAAATATATCAAATTGACTAGTGCTGTGCTAGAACACCCATTTTTGCCCTACTGTAACTAATGAATTTGATAAAGAAGAGTTACAATATTTTATCTTCTTAAGATATAATACATTCTATAAGATCTATAATACTGAAAATATATCAAGATAAATATTGGCACCTTCATATAAAAAGGTAAGTATTCTATTAAAACTCTATGAAATATTATGTGAATGGTATGCAATATTATATAATAAAGAAAGAAAAGATGTGAAAGTATGTATAGAAGTAATTATGAATCAATATGCAAGATTAAAAATAGGTAATAAAATATTTGAATCTAAAGTCACAAGTTGACATGAAAATAATACAGTAATCTTAGTAAAGTGAAATACGTTTAGAGATAGGACAAGTGATATTTATTTTGAAGAAATACAATATTACTTTGAGCATATACTTACACTTCTAATAAAAGGACCCAAAACACATTTTCTAATATATGTCAAATGGTATAAAAATACACCTTCCTCTAATATATAATTTAAATATAAGTTTATGATATTCAAAATATCAAATATAAAATTATGGAAAGAAGAATATTATGAGAAAAGTTAAGATTCAATTATTGCAGTGTGTAAAATATATAGTAGATTTATTAAGATAGACTATCAGATTGGAAATAAAAATAATTATATATCAATAATTCTATTGAATAAAAGATTTAATGTTTATTTATTTTTTTTTATTATTTTTTTTTATATTATAATAAAAATAACTTCAAGTAAAAAATTTGAATTTTAAGTGTATACTATATAAAGACAAATTAAATTTAATTAAAATATAATATCAGGTATCTGATAGATTATATAAAATTTTAAAAAACAGATATGATAAAAAATTTTCTTATGTACTTAATAAGAAAAAAAATATCAGTTACCTGATATATATTTTAAAAATATCAAATTCACGATATTATTATAAATATCGGCTACCCAAAGAATTTAAAAAAAATATCATGTTTCTAATATTATTATTTATTATTAAGTATTCAATATTACTTAATAAAACTACAATATTTAAAATATACTTAAAATATATTTTATTAAATATATTTTAAGTATATAAAAAACTATTTAAAATATTATTATTTTATAATTAAAATATATTTAAAATATACTTAAAATATACTTAATTTTAAATATATTTTAATAATATTTTAAGTATGTTTTAAATATATATCTAAAATATACTTACTCATTACTTAAATTAAGTATTTTTTAAGTATATTTTAAATATATTTTAATTATAAAATAATAATATTTTAAATAAATTATCACAAATATAATTAAGTATATTTTAAATATATTTTAAATATATTTTAATAATATTTCAATAATATTTTAATTATATTTTAAGTATTTTTTAAATATGCGTATTTTTTATAGAACATGTGAAGATGAAAATTTTTATGACAATATTGGATAAGATAAGTTTGAAAATAATGATCATGTGATAATTGATATATTTCATTGGTTCTGAACTTACAATGGATTTCATTTCCTAGTAATATTAATTTCTATATAATTATATGATTTTTATAATAAGAAATATATAATATATAATAATATATAAGAGCTATAATAAATTAAAAATAAGGCCTATACCACAGATTAGATTATTAATAAGTTAATTAACAATAAGATTAGTAAAATTATATTGTTAATATTTTTTTGTTTATTTAACTAATGAATTACAATAAAGTTTTAAGTGTTGAAATAAAATCTTATATTTTTTTATAATATTTTTAATATTTTGACATTTTTTTATAAAAGTATAATATTTACAGGTGATTAATGAATTTTACAATTGTAACATATGTAAAACACTATTTTATTCAGATTAAAAATTCTATTTTTAAGTTACACTATTGTGACATTAATTTTATCCCGTGATTCTATTGTTGACGTCATATTAAAAAATCACTGTTCTATTCTATTTAATAATAATAATAACAAATATTTATTAATATTTATTATTTATTTTTTAACAATAAACAATAAACAAAAACAAACCTTCTTTCGTTGTACAAAAAAGATCAACAAATTTATTTGTCTTTATTATTAGGAATCTTTAAATCAAATAAAAAAAAAATATCCAATAAAAATAAATTTAACTTTTTACTATATAATTAAAAATATCGAATGCATAAACAAAGTAGTGTTATCATTTCTTTTTTAAAAATCAAAATATTTTGATGAATTCGAGATAAAATAAATTTTACTCTATTTTTTTCTAATGCCAAATGTTGCGGCAAAAAGTCGGAATTTCTTTTTATATAAGAAAATAATAACAAAGGTTTTTCGAGGAAAAATTCGGATTCCGTATGACAATTTTTTAAGAAAATTTTTAGTCTAGTCACTTGTTGTTGTTATTATTACATATGATATAATTTTTTTATCACAATATATTGATAACATTAAAATATAATATTCCCAATATATATTCCTATTTTGAATCGATCTGCGTCATGGTTTTATAACGCATCACATCAAATTCAATTCATCCCTTCCCGTAATCAGTAATCATATCATAAATACTTTGGTTCCCAAATAACAAAAAAAAAAATTTCAAAAAAAAATAACAACATTCGATTTCGGATTCTCTTTATAACCAAAATTTTTTTTTTTTGTTATATAAAATTTTTTCATTCTTATTATTTGACTTTTATATAAAAAAAAAAAAAATATCTGAAATCATGACTACTGAGAGTACTGAAGAAAAAAAGTCTTCAAGAAAGAGGAAAAACGTATCTGAAGAGACTGTTGAACGCAAAACGAACCCACAACGTGCCGCGAAAACTAAAGCTGAAGAAGCCAAAGCTGCAGCTTCAACTTCAGCCTCCTCCTCAACTTCTAAAGCAAGAACAAATAAAAAAACCAAGACTGAGGTGTGTTATTTGTTTAAAAACGCGTTTTTATCAATCTATTCATAAGATTTCTTCTCAAGATTTCTTTAAGAGATTATATTATTATTATTATTATTATTATTATTATTTTTAAAAATATATTTTTTTAATATTCAAACTTTAAAAACTTTTAACGATTATAATAAATAAATAAATAGAAACCTGAAGGACCTTCCCTTCCTAAACTTAAAGAATTTTTGGCCAACGCTGGTAATCTTAAAGTGGTGATCAATCGACCTTCTCACGTAAAAGAGGATCACGACGATTCTGATACTAAGGAGACCAAAGGTACAAAGAGTAAGGAAGCCAAAGATAAAGAAGGACCTGAAGAAGAGGAGGAAAAAGAAATTGAAAGCACTGGATCTCCAGAAGCTTCAAAAAATGGAGAAAGTAAGACCGACGTTGGAAGAACTACTTTGTTCACTTTTGATGCCAAACCTCGTAAGTTCGCTACCAACGCTTATGGTTGGTCGGAAAATATTACGAAAGGGAAAATCAAAATTGAAATCGATGGAAATGAAGTTGAATTACCAGTTACGGTCAATTTAAATATTACTGTTCACAATTCCAAGAAATAAATCATGCCCTCCCCATGTTTTTGAAGAGAAAGGATGTTGTGAAAAGGTTTATCTTTGTTGATTTTTTTTTATTTTTTATATATTTTTTTTCTCAAAAACTTATCATATTTGTTTACTCTTTTGTATGATAAATTAGTTAAATCACAATTTTATAAAGTTGTCATATTTCTTTTATAGTAGGAGTGGAAGTGGCAAACTTTGTATATATAAAATTTATATATATTCAATTTGCCAAAATTTATATATATATATATTCTTTTTTTTTGTTCTTTTTTCTCTCTTGAGATTAGAATCCCGAGATGGATTTTTATTTAGTTGCTGATATAAATATTTTTACTTTTCTTTTTCTGATCGTTTCTATTTTTTTTTTCCTTCAGATCAGTTCTTTTCTTTTCTTTCTTTCTTTTCAATTCTTTTCTTTTTTTTTTTTTGCAAAATCATATCTAACATATTAATAAAGAATAAAAAATAATAGTGATAGATTTAAATATGGTTGACAAGGTTGTAAGTGATGATTGATTTTGTTGTAATATTTTTTTAACAAGTGATTGAATATTCAATGATTAAAATCGTTTAATTTGGTAAATAAATGCTAGTATTTTATTTTAGTCATAATATTAAGACATTACTTTACAGAATTTTAATAAATCTATAAATTAATTGTTTGATTTTATCTATTTGATCTATTTGATCCATAACATACCATATAATAATCAAGTTTTATTCTACTGATTGATGTCATGACTTACTTAAAATATAAATAAAGATCAATCATTCTTATTCATAAATTGATATATAAATTGGAGATTCACATTAGTATTAATGAATACTTGATTATTAAATGTAAATATCCATCCCTTCAACAATCATCTTCAATGTTCATTTCATATGACATACATAACAAATGTATATTTTAATATTAATTTTTTAACATCCATTATGAATATGATAATAATTGATTTATAACTGAAATCAGACAAACAGGATGAATTAGGATGAATAGAAGGTAATTTGTTCCTTTAGGAGTTATTATTTCAAGTCTCAATTTCTAATTTACAATTGAATAAAAGTTAATATAAAACTTTATTTATACTTTTAATATTAAAATACAATTAATACAATTAATGTAAGATGAAATTTCATGTACCTAAGATAACCTGTGACAAGTTTAATTTATAGGTTGATTGAAATAAACATAAATAAATGATAATTAATGATGATGATGACAGTACAGTTTATATCAAATTTTATCAATTTTTAAAGCAATGCACAAAACAAAAAAAGATAATCTTGTGATTTAGATCTAATCTATTTCACCCCCCCAAAAAAAATAATAAATAATAATTCTTCTTTCCTTATTCTCTTTTAAAATTAAATATTCCAAATATTCCTTTTTTTTTTTCTAAAAAAAAATCATTCATTTATTTCAAATATGACAGTTTTTTCAAAACCTATTGATTCTTCTCGACGATCCAAAGCTTTAACTTCTTTCGCGATTATATCTTTCGCCATTTGTTTAATGGTTGCAAGATATGGTTATAAGAAAAAAGTAGAAAATAATAAAAGTAAATCAAGTCGAAACCGAACCAAAAATAATAATAGTAGTAGTAGTGGTAGTAGTAGTAATATTGATAAGAATAATCTTGAAGGTCCAATACCTGGAAGTAATAAGTACATTTTAAAAGTACCTTACAAAAATCGGTTGGCTACCGTAACCTTACGTCCAACACCGATAGAAGTTTTTAAAAGAAATAAAAAAAGGTTTCCACCTATTATCGATCATCATCCGCAACAACAACAACAACAACAACGAAAGCACCAAAAAGTTGGAGTTAATAAAACTTTTTTTAAACAAATTACCGCAATCTTAAGAATCATTATACCAAGGGTTCGATCCAAAGAAGTTATCATACTGTTGTTACATACGACCTTTTTACTTTTAAGAACTTGGTTAAGTATTGTTGTGGCGAAATTGGATGGAAGAATTGTTAGAGATTTGGTAAATTAATTAATTAATTAATTAATTATTCTTTTTTTTTTTTACAAGAAATTAAATTAATTAATTGAAATTTATCTTCCGGTTTATTATTATTATTATTATTTTAGGTTGCTGCAAATGGCAAAGAATTTCTTAAAGGAATAGCTTATTGGTTCGCTATTGCCGTTCCTGCAACCTATACCAATAGCATGGTAAAGAAATGATAAATAATAATAATAATAACAAATAATTAATAATAATTATATTAATGAGAATAATTTAATTTTTTTTTTTGAATAATTTAGATTCGATTTCTACAATCAAAATTATCAATTGCATTTAGAACGCGATTAACACGATATGTTCATGATCTTTATTTAAATGATCAAAATGCCTATTATAAAGTTTCTAATCTTGATAATAGACTTGAAGGAGTTGATCAGTTAAGTTTTGATTATTTATTATTGTTGTTGTTGTAGTCGTCGTTATTATTTTATCAATCAAAAATAATTAAATGATAAATTATTTATTATAATATTAATAAATATTAGATTCATAACTACCGACATAGCACGTTTTTGTGATGGTCTTTCATCATTATATTCAAATTTAGGAAAACCTGTATTAGATACGATCATTTTTAATTATCAATTAGCCAAGAGTGTGGGAACCACCAATATGTTAGTGTTATTTAGTAATTATTTATTATCCGTCTGGGTCTTACGTAAGGTGACACCGGCGTTTGGTAAACTTGCCGCTGAGGAAGCCAAATTGGAAGGTGATTTTCGAGGGGTTCACACGAGGTTAATCACGAATGCTGAAGAAATCGCATTTTATCATGGATCCGAATTAGAACGATCAATTTTAAATCGAACTTACACCCGTTTGATTAAACATATTAATGGAATTTTAAAAGTTCGAATCTTTTATAACATGTTTGAAGATTTTATCATCAAATATTGTTGGAGTGCATTGGGATTAATCACCAGTGCTGTACCAGTATTCTTTCCGGATTGGGGAGGTCGAGGTGGAAGATTGGAAATTCAAGGAAATGGTATTGAAATCACGAAATCTATTGGCAGTGGTGGTCTTGGTGTTAAAGAAAGGGATCGTACAAAAGCATTTATTACTAACAAAAGGTATTTATATTTATTAATTGAATAATTAAAATGTTTAAAATGTTTATTATTTAATTAATTAAATGTATAATTAATTAATTTATTATGTTTATTTATAGGTTGATGTTAACACTTGCAGATGCGGGAGGACGTATGATGTATTCTTATAAAGAACTTGCAGAACTTGCGGGTTACACTTCCCGAGTTTATTCCTTAATTTCAGTATTACATTCATTACATGCTGGAGAATATGTTTCCGTACCTCGACCACCGCCATCAACAACAACAACAACAATAACAAAATCTCCAAAAACAAAGAAAGGAGAACCATATGAAGATGATAATGATAATGAAGATGAGGAATTAGAAAAAGTCAAAACGATTGAAGATGATATCATCGATGATTATGATGAAGAAGAAGATGATGATCAAGAATATTATTCATTAGGAGATTTACGAGGAGAAGTGATTTTAGGATATGATGGTATCAAATTTGAAAATGCTCCTGTCATAGCATTTAATCCTGGAAATAAAAGAGGAGGAGAAGTATTGATAAAGGATTTAAATGTTACAATAAATCCTGGTGAACATTTATTAATAACTGGACCTAACGGAGTAGGAAAAACAAGCATTTTAAGAGTGATAGCTCAATTATGGCCTTTATACCGTAAGTTATTTCATTATAACTTATTTAATATAATTTTATTAATTTATTATTAATTTATTTAATACAATTTATTAAATAATTATTAATAATTTGTTTAATAAAATTTATTAACTTATTATTAATTTATTCAATATATTTTATTAATTTATTATAAGTTAATTAATACAATTTATTAAATAATTATTAATTTATTAATATAATTTATTAATTTATTATAATTTATTTAATACAATTTATTACAAATTTATTATAATTTATTATAATTCATTTTAATACAATTTTATTAATTTATTATAATTTATTTAATATAATTTTATTAATTTATTATTAATTTATTTAATATAATTCTATTAATTTATTTTAATTCATCTTTTATATAATTTATTAATTTATTATAATTTTTGATATATTTGTTAACAGATTTATTTAATTCATTTGATACAATTTATTAATTAATTATTAATTTATTTAATATAATTTATTAACTTATTTATAATTATTAATTTAATATAATTTGAAGGAGGTCGACTTTCTAGACCTAATGCAGGAGACATTCATTACATTCCTCAACGATCCTATCTTGTTATAGGAACACTTCGTGATCAGTAAGTTAATTTTCTAATTATAATTATAATTTCAATAATAATAATAATAATAATAATAATAATAATAATAATAATAATAATAATAATAATAATAATAATAATAATGATAATATTTATTTCATTTTATTTCCAAATAGAATTATTTATCCATATTCACATGCCGATATGATTCGTGCCAATCGTACAGATGAAGAATTATTAGAAATTCTTCATAGAGTTCAATTAGCTTATATACCTGAACGCGTAGGTGGATGGGAAACAAAGAAGGAATGGAAAGATGTATTTTCTGGTGGAGAAAGGCAGAGGGTATTTATATTAGATTATATTTTGATGATTGATTATTTCTTTTATTGGTTATTTCTTATTGATTAATTTAATTAATTATTTAATTGATTGATTGATTGATTGATTGTTTAGATCGGTATAGCTCGACTTCTCTTTCATCATCCAAAATTTGCAATTCTTGATGAATGTAAGTATGAAAATATTATTATTAATAACAATTCAATATAATATATAATATATAATTTGAGAATTACCGATTAATTATAATTCGAATTATTAATGAAATAGGTACTAGCGCAGTTAGTAATGATGTAGAAGGATTAATGTATCAACATACAAAGGATATTGGTATAAGTACGTATTATTATTATTATTATTATTCAAATTATACATTAATTATATAAATTATATTATAGATAAAATGTATTGAATCTATCTTATCTTAATCATTCATTTATTTATCAATCATTTTAAATTTTATAGCACTTATCACCATATCACATCGACCATCTCTATTCAAATATCACACTCACCTCTTACGTATTGATAACGGGAAATATGAATTTTCTACAATTGGTACAAAAGAAGAACGAATGACAGTGGATAAAGAAATATCGGTACTAGAAGCTAAATTAAAAGATATCAAATCAATTAAAAACAGAGTGGCCGAAATCAATAAAGAATTACATTTAGGAGTGGGAGAAGAAGAAGATGAAGAAGAGGAGGATTATGATTATACTAAAGTTCAATGAAGAGGAATTTTGTATGATTGATAAATGTTTGAAATTTTAGATATTATTATTATGTGAAATTATGTGACATGATTATTAATATATTATTATATATTATATTATATTATATTATGATTATATAATTGCATTAGAATTTAAAATTGATGTACAAAAAGTGTATTATTATTTTATTATATTATTATATATTATTTGAACTATAGAAATTTTTATTTATTCTATTCTATTTATTTATTTATTTATTCTTGTTTTATTTTATTATTTTATTATAGAAGACGACTAAAATAATTATCACTTTTTGTAGAATTACAATCTCATAAATACATAAGTTATTATTATTATGGTTATAAAGTTATCCACACAATATCCAATAATATTCAGTCAAATAAATTGTTAATAAAATCCTTTAGCAAAAAATGAAACATTATTATCCATGATTTTGTAATGTAAGATCGAAGGTCTAAACCATTTTTCAAGATTCCTTGGACCTCGAGCTATTGTAATTTCACCCGAAATATCTCTACTAAATCCTGTTCCTAATCCACATAATGATATTAAATAATCAGATTGATAAATTAATGATTTTATCAATATTTCTTGATCGATATAAATATATTCATAATGTGGATTATAATATTGACCTCCATTATCATTATTATTATTATTATTATTATTAGTATTATTGCTATTGTTATTATTATTGTTGTTATATTCATCATCAGCGTGAATTAGAGTAATCATTGATCCTTCGTACTGATTTAATAATTATAAAAATTTATTTAGAATTAAGAAATTGTAAGTAAAATCATAAGTAAGTAAGTAAGTAAGTAAGTAAGTAAGTAAGTAATTAAGTAATTAATTAATTAAGTAATTAAATAAATGTAAAGTTACCTTTGAAACTAATAATCGACAAGCCCTCCAAAATTCCAATACATCATTAACTTTAAAACCCGAATAAATTAATACACTTAAATCATCAAAAATCAATAAAATATTTGAAATATTTGAATCCAATGATGATGATAAATTCTGATAATGTTTAATTATAATATTCTTGATAATTGAATAAAAGTTATATAATGTTTCTTTGGTATATAAAAAAGATGTATCTGTTGTATCATGATCATCATCATCATCACCATCATTATTATTGTTATTTATAGGGGATAATATAGCTGTAGGAATTGTAGTATTGTTATTGATGGATGTAGTAATTGAAATATTAGATGTAGTTGAAGTGGTGGAAGTTGTAATAGGTGAACGAATAGGTGAATGTAAAGAAGTTAAACCATCAATGAAAGAAAAATATCCTTTTTGATTTGCAAGATTCAAATTAACGCCCTATAAATGTGTTATATATTAAATAATAATTATTAAATATTCATATTTTTCATCACATCAATATTTTATACCTACCAATTTTCTTGCGATACTTTGATAATGATTAAAAATTTCCGCCAATCCAATTAATATTACATGTTTATTGGCTTTAATTTGATTCACTATAAAATGATGAATTAAAAAATCTCCTCGTGAACTTAATGTATCAGTAATTAATAATGATTTTTTTGGTGGAATGATATTCCTTTCATTAGGGAATGTTAATGCCGCTTCTAATGTTTGATATCCCATTTAATTTATTTAATTTATTATTTGTAAAATTGATTAATTTAATTGACAATGTTAAGGTGATAAACTGATCGGTTACACAAACGTGTGTCGTCAAAAAAAAAAAAAAAAAAAAAACTTCGAAAAAGAATATATAAATTTATCTTACAAAAATATTTTATTTTATTTTTTAATCAAAACGTGTTTATTTTGAACTAAAGATTTTTGTTCTTTCCCATTTCTTGCATTATTTATTTATTTATAAAGGAGTATAAAATTATATTATTGTTTTTACAAAAATGAACAATTTTATTTTGTTTAGAAAGAAATAAAAATTCTAGATTTTTTCATCTATAGTAATAATGATTTCAAAAGTCATCAACTTCTGATTATGAATTTAAAGATTAAGATAATATATAGGATTTTTATTTTTTTGACTTCTCTCGCGATTTTCGAAATATGGAGTGATTTTTTACTAAGTTATTCCTATGATAGATAGACGGACTTATTGTTGGCTACAAAATGGTATGTGTTTCATCCCTCCGCGAATATCGATTCTACAGGGATGAAATACATACTATTTTGTAGGGCTGATTTATCTATAATAGAAATACCTTAGTAGAAAAACGTTCTAAGTTTCGCAAATCGCGAGCGAAGTCAAAAAATATAAAAAAAAACGCACAAAACATCTAAAAATAAAAAAATATTACACGGATAATCCGGTTTCGAAAGTTTAATCACCACTTTCTTATATACTGTAATTATGAATTTTAAAGAGTTAAATTTGATTAATAAAATATAAATAAATAAATGGATAATTTAAATACCTAATTTTATAGATTTCACCAATCCAAGACAATATCTATTTATCAATAATTGCATGTCATCTTCATAGGTGAAATATTACTTCATAATTGTAAGGCATAATTATAGGAGATAATTATAAAAGATACATGATATTATAGTCATGTAATTTTAGAAAATAACATATATATGAATTTATACATAGTGAAGATATAATAAGTAGTACTTGTTTTTCAATTAACTTTCTTGTTTGTTTTATGTATCAGTTATAAAAGTTAAAAAGAAAGTTACCTTTACACGGTTTATAAATTGTTATAAACACAATAAATAATTACAAATATTTAGATTTTGAAATATCAAGACAATAATGATTTATTTCAAATGATTACATACTGGTCTGCTTTAATTTAAATGAAAGTTAATACTCTATAATTCAAGTGATCAAATAAAATAATAAATAATTTTATATCAAATATAATATTAAGAACTTCAAATAAAAACTAAAAAATAAATATTTAATTCTAAGCCAATTAATTCCCAGTGAATTAAATTTACATTCCATTTCTTGAATTTCATTTTCTTCATCTTCAACTGTACAAATTTAAATATAATTAATATAAATATCTTAAAAAAAATAATTAAAAAAAATAAATTTACCAATCATATTATCAGGAATTGATGTCTTAAATCTAAATAAATAATTTACATAAATTTTTTTTTTCTAAAAAAGTAATAAAATTTATTTCTTACAAAATATACTTACTAAACATACTATTATATCCAGTCATTTTAAATTTAGATATAGGTCTACTTGTATATATTGCCTCAGGATGCATTTTATTTGAATCATATCAAATAAAATTCTTGTTTGATTTAATTACTTCATTTGATTTCTTATTTTATTATTAAAAACATCATTATAATTATTATATTTGTCAAGTTGAGATTTCAATTCTTTAACAGTTGAATAATCAAGAGATTTAAAATTCCAGTATTTTTTTCATTATTTTTTTGAGAAATTGAGAAATTTCACATTTAATTTCAGGTTTAAGTCCATTATAAGATTTTTATTATATGAAATATTAGAACTTCTAACATAACCATATCAAAAGAATAAATGTCAAATGCCTAAGTGTATTCTCCTTTACTCAATATCTCAGATGCCATGAATGGAATTGCATCATAAATTTCTTCTGAATTATTTTCTGTAACTGGTTTACACAATCCAAAATCAGTAATATAACATTTAGTTAAAGTTTGACTAACTATATTACCAGAATGAAAATCTTTATGTTTTAAGTCCATTTTATGGATATTTTTAAGTCATTTACAATAGTTAATAAAATATCAAATTTATTTCTTCAAGTTAATTTGTTAAAGTATTGATTCAACAGATTCTGAAGACTACCATATGCTGCATATTTCATAACCATCAAGTATTCATTTTTTGTTTGATTTTTATGATATCATATATAACAATTACTTTTTTATCTTGAAATTTAATTTGATTTTTAATCTAAATATTCATTAGAATAAATAAAATATAATTATTATATATATCAAATGATGTAAATATAATGAAATTTAAATAATATAAAATATTTACTTCTTGCAAAAATTCATTTTTATTTGTGAAATTATCAAGACTTTTTAAGTAAACATCCTGTTTCTGGAATCTTTTCCAATTTTTTACTTTATAATTCCAATAAGAAATAGTCCATCAAGCCATTTGCTTTGTACACTGTGCCAAAACCCCTTTTGGCAAGGTATTTGACATTTTCAAGTCTGTCAAATGGAATCCACTAAATAATTTGTTAACTTATATTTGCACTAAGTTGTATTTGTTGAATAAATTCATCAATTTCTCTATCTTCACTTGTCCATTTATCAAATTCATTTTGAAATCATTTGACATTACACAGATGGTACCAGTTTCTTTCAGTATTAACTTGATGACAATTACTACATTTTCTAAAAAATTATTATTGATAATTAATTAAAGAATTGTTATATATACATAATTACCAATAATAATAATATCAATCTTTAATGTAAAAATTATTTTATTTAAATAATAAAAATTATTACATTGTAAAATAAAAATATCCTTAATACAGTATCTTATAACCTGCGCAACTATTATTTCGAGCATTATTACAAATCTATTTGAATATATACCTTTAAAAAAATTGTTTCTTTTATTAATATACTTGATTATAAAAATATTTTTAGTTAAAAAAATTTATTATTATTTTGTGTAAAAACCACCTAAATATCGCTTTTGTGGTCTTAGAAAACCTTTTTCCTCTACTAAAAATACATATATTATTGTTGCTAATAAAGTATACTTACCTCTACTTTTAAGAAGATCTTAAAAAAGGAACATTTTAAGGTCGAGTTTCACATATATAGAAGAAGAGGAGACGAAATATGGTTACACGAATTTTTTTATTATAAAAATGATTTACGTTGACATGCGGTTGAATTGGTCTTAGATCTTGGAACCGAACCGGTTCGTTTATTGATCCTCACTTTCAATTGTATTGGAATCTCATCGTCACATAAATGTTATCACGTGAATTTGGATAATTTGGATAATTTGGATAGATCATTGATAAAAATTTTTTTTAAAAAATGTCTCGCCCAGAATATCAAGCACCACCAGAATTAGTAAATATACAATAATAAAATCATATAATAAATGCACATATAAATATAATAATAACAACATATACGGAACTCATTCTTTTTTTTTTATAGTATTATAATGACAAGGAAGCAAACAAATATACATCCAAGTAAATAAATCAATAAAAAAATATTAATTATATATAAATAATATATTTATTCATTGCTGACTTTTCTCATAATTTATTCATTTTTTTCATTATTTTTCCATTTAATAATGATTTTTTTTTTTAAAAAAAAATAAAAAGTACTCGAATACAAAGTATTCAAGCTGAACTAGTAAACCAATTTCTTAATTGTAAAAAAAAAAATATATTTTTTGAAATTTTATATAAAATAACAATTACAATAATCTAATAAAATTTAAAATAAAAATTTTAATAATAATTTAATAACAATTTAGACTTATCGAGCTATAGAATTATTAAATTTACCTGAAAACGAACCAGCATTTTTACTTGATATAGGATGTGGATCAGGTTTAAGTGGTGAAATTTTAGATGAAGAAGGACATTTTTGGGTGGGAATTGATATTGCTCCTTCTATGTTACGTGAGTTGAATATAATATTTTTATTTCAATCTATATTGATATTTTTAATTATTTCAATCTATATTTATAAATTTATTTCAATCTATTATTAGAGATCGCATTAGAAAGAGAAGTCGAAGGTGATTTATTTTTACAAGATGCTGGGCATGGATTAGGATTTCGACCTGGAACATTTGACGGAGCGATCAGTATCTCGGTATTACAATGGTTATGTAACGCGGATCGAAAATCAAATAATCCCGTCACAAGATTAAATCGATTTTTTACCACATTATATTCATCTTTGAGAAGAGGAGCTCGAGCGATATTTCAATTTTATCCGGAAAATGATGATCAATGTGAATTGATAATGAATGTGGCAATGAAATGTGGATTTCAAGGTGGTTTGGTGGTCGATTATCCTAATAGTAAAAAGGCCAAAAAATTTTTCTTATGTTTATTCGCGGGAATCAATAGTACGGAAAGTAAACCACAAATGCCTAAAGCTTTAGGTGTAGGTGAAAATGAAGAGGATGAACCGAGAACTGTGAATTATTCTAGTGAGAGGTAATTTACTTAATTTAACTTATTTTATAATTGATTTGAAAATTATTATCAATTATCAATTATTATAATAATCAATTATTATTATTATCAAGTATTTATTATAATCATCAATTCATAATCAAATATTAAAATATTAATTATTATTATTATCATTATTATTATTATATATTAGAATTCAAGAACGTAAAACAAAAACAAAAGGAAATCGTAAATCAATTAAAGATAGAGATTGGATTTTACATAAAAAAGGAATTGCTAGAATGAGAGGAAAGAAAGGTATACCACTGGATACAAAATTTACTGGAAGAAAGAGAAAATCTAAATTTTAAAAAGTTATATAAATTATAAATAATATAAATAATAAAATATATATATCTATCTATATATTATTTCCTTCACTATTACTACCATCCGATTTCTCGGATTCATTATTTTTTTTATTTTTATTTTTATTTTTATCATTGTTGTTGTTGTTGTTTTTGTCATCATTATCATTATCCTTTTCATCAGTTTTTAACTTTTTAACTTTTTTCTTTTGTTTCCTCTTTTTTCTTTTTGCCCTTCTCTTTGCCGTTTTTTCATCTTCGAGAGCTCTAATTTCCGCTATCTTTGCATTAAATTCGTCTCTCTCTTCTTCCTGTAAACAATATAATAAATAAAAAATCATAATAACAAAAATCATAATAACAAAAATCATAATAACAGAATCATAATCATAATTATAATAAAATGATATTTACTTTTCTTGCTTCCTCTTCCATGGATTTTAATCGTGTATATTCTCTTCGTCGATGAGCTCTATATACATGAAATTCTCCACTTCCTGCACCTGCACTAGAACCTTTTGATTTTAAAAATTTTAATTAAAAAAATAAAAAATTCAAAATATTAATAAAAATTAAGAAATAAAAATTTTTTTTTAACAAAAAATAAAATAAATAAATAAAATAAATAATTATTAATTTTAATTAAATACCTTGAACATTTCTAACAATATCTTTAGGTGCTTTTAATTTAGGTTTATCAGCTTTTTCAGGTATTTGTAATGTTTTATCAGGTCTTTGTAATAACTTCTCTACTTGTTGTCTTTGAATATCAACAGGTTTTAAATCATGTTTAGCTTTTCTTTTGGGTATTTCGATTTCTTCTTCAACTTCAACTTCCTCCATTATTTTATTTATTTATTATTTATTTATTTATGATTTATTATTATAATTGAGTATTTTTTTAAATGTTGGGGTATGATAATTTCAGTTAAAATTTTTAATGCCTTTTATACTTTTTATGGTAGTAATGTGATGTTGATTAACTGTGGGATAAATGTGGAACAATAAAAAATTAGATTATCTCAAAAAAAACTTTCTCGTTAAACGTTAGCCTCTTCTCTTTATTATATTCTCCCTTCGTTCGTTCTCTCAAAATAAAAAATAAATAAATTATATATAGAAATCAAAAATCCAACTTGTTCAACTTGTAATTTGATAATTATTGAATAAATTTGAATAAATTTTTTTTTTGAAAAATGATTTTTGTTACTTCAAAAATTAAACCAAAAATTAAAAAAGGAATCCCTACATTCTTTTCGTTCTTTCCCTTCCCAAAGTCTATTCAAACTCATCACACTTTTCATAATACTTTTCACCATCACCCAAAAGATGTCATAAATAACAATAATATTATTAATAAAAATGTTTATTATTATTATAATAATAATATTAAAATAAAATGTTCATTCTTTTCACATTCATATTATCATTATCATTATAGTAATATTCGTTCAATTTCTTCCCTTCCTTCCCTTTCTTCTTCGATTTCATCAATTTTTAATAATATTAAAATTTACAAAAATAATAAAGATAAGAAAAATAATGAAACTACCACAACGGCAACAATTTTATCTCAAAATAATTTATTTCATCCATTATCAAAATCTCCTATTAAAGAAATGAGAGAACGTGGTGAATTAATTAAAAGATTTGGTAAATGCCCAATTTGTGAAACCATTCATAAAAGTGAACCTATTCCTAAAAATGATGGTAAAAGTGCCGAAGATGTTTCTAAATCTAAAGTTGTTGATGATGATTCTATTACTACCACTACCACCACCATCACCACCACTACTACTACTACTACTGCTACTGGTGTTGGTGGTCAAATAAATTATGAATGCCCAGATTGTGGATATCCTACACATTGTTCATATGAACATTATAATTTAGATTTAATGCAACATAAAAATTTGATTTGTAATATGTTGAGAGAAGTTAATG